GCCGCGGGTGGGTCGAGCGCAAGCAGGGGCAGTGCCCGGCAACGCCCCGTGCGCAGTCTCTCTCTCTCTCTCTCGCGGGGGCCCTCGAGGCGCGCTGCCTACCCCGAGACCCCCAACGTGTCGAAAGCATCAAGCCGTAGCTTTTTCTCAAACATCGGCCCCTAGGGGCCCTCGCCGGGCCTCGGGACCGTCAACAAACGACGCAGGATGAAACACCGGTCCTGGGGAATGGGTCGGACCCCGCATTGAAGAAATCACGACGTCGGATTTCAGGGTGCCCCTGGTGCCTGGAGGCCTCCCGAAGGCCTTGTCCGAGGAGACCTCCGGGGCATTTTCCGCGGGCGCCCCGGAAGCTCGTGGGAGCCCCCCGCGGGGGGGGGGGAGATCCCGGGAAGCGATGCTGGCTCGATGCTTTTCGAGAGCGGCAGCGTCGCCAGGTCAAACCGAAGCACAGGTCAAGGAGCCGCCGCGCGCACCGCAGAAAACGATACACAGCGCGGCACTCGGGACGCCAATAGGGTCAGGTCGGGCATGTATGTCCTCCTACAGGTGGATTGTGGACGAAGCGCAAAAATAGTAGAACAAATATTCAAGACATGCCATGGAATACTCAAGCCATCGTCCCCATACTATTTTCAACTATTTTCGACGATCCATCCTGTAGAGGGACATGCCCGACTCAACACTAGGTCACTAGGTAGGCTATCTTGACCATTCTCAGGATTCCTGGAGCGCCCTACATCCCATGGCCAAGGCAATGCTCTGCACGCTTCGGGCCCTCTCACCGATCCCGCTGCAACCACGGACGACACCACGGGCCTCCGCGGGCCCTCCGCCGACCCTGGCAGCCACTCGCCATCGCTCGGACGTCCATTCCCTGTGCTTCTTTCGGTCTCGTGCGTGGCTTGTTCGCCAAATGATCGAGGATGCTCCTCGATGGCCCTCGCCGAAGAAAAAAGGCACACGTCCGAGCGATGCCGAGGCCAAAGGCTGGGGGGGCCCCCATCCAGCCGAACACCCTTTTTCGTGCAAACCAGCCGCGGGGCCACGCCCGGCAGGCCGGCCCCCGCACGAGCCGCGCCCGCGACGCCCTCGCGAGCAGCGGCGCAGGGCCACTCTGGCGAAGCGCCCGGGCAGGGCGGGGTTTCCATCGGCCCCCCGAGAGGAGAACGCCTTCGGAAGGCACGCGCTGCGGCAGCCGCCCTGGCGGCAGCGCCCGTGCCGCGCCGCGAGGCGCCCTGGGCAGCTCGCGCCGGGGCAGGCAGAGGCGACACCTCGCCATCGCTCGGACGTCCCCTCCCTTGTCGGTTTCGTGGGTGGTCTTTTCGCCAAATGATCAAGGATGCTCCTCGAGGGTCCTCGCCGAGAGAAAAATGCACACGTCCGAGCGATGCCAAGACAGAGGGCGCGCGCCATCCTGACAACCTGGCTGGGAGCCCCGGCAGCACCTCCTCCCCAAGAGGAGGCTGCGAGGGGGCTCCGCTCTGGTCGCCATGCCGCAGGCGAGGCGCGAGAACTCCTCCGGAGTCGGGCGTCGCACTGAGCCCCTCCCATCTCTCACTCTCTTTTCTCCCTCTCTCGCCCTCTGTCTGTCTCCCTCTCCCGCTACACACCCCGTGCACCCCCGCAATCATAGGACTCAACGAAAACCATCGATCAAACCGCACATGCATTGCCCATACCGTGCAGGCCCGCACGGCCCGTCTTGAGCGTGGGCGGCGTCAAGAAGGGGCCTGGCCACGCCCATGGCATGCCTTTTCTTCTCGTCGTCTTCCTGCCTCCTGCCCTTCGCGAGGCGCTACAGGGGCATTTTCTCAGCTTTCATGCAGCGCAACGTGCGTCGGCTAACATCGGAGCAATCAACTTCACTCAAACTTACTTGCGGGCTAAGAGCGGGTACTCTCAATTATCTCATGCTCTCCGCGGTAGATCCATGACATGCGCTGGTATGGCGGTTAGCTGTCAAATGCCGGCAACGCTGGGGCGTTAACAAAACATGCTGGCGTCGACTTCCCGTTTGCCAACTGGTACTTTGCCAGGCTGGCAACTCCGCACAAGCTGGGATCCCGGGAAAGAGGGTCGAATGATACCCTAGTTCCTGGGCAATTCTTGTTTACAAAAAATATGTGACGATGATCTGTGTTCTGCATCCTAGTGTTCATGTTGCCCGATTCAGCAATGTGGTGTCTCATTCGATGTTCCACCTGACTTGTGCTGCTTCTATTGAGTATGACCGAGAAGCAACAACATTTGATTTCTGTGAAGTAGAATTGACCGATTCACTGGCCTATGATGTGGGCTGTATTGCGAGTGCTGGGTGTTGCCGATGTACATGCTACCGAAGTCATCCACAGCGAACTAGATGCAGGCAAGCAACTGCGCAGAAAGCTGCTTGAGTTGCCAATGCCTACATCTAGCTCGCGGTTGTCGGCCTCGTGATGAGAGGGTGGCAGTGTGGCAGCCAGAAGCGTCACTGGTCGGCAAACGTGTGAGGCCATCCAACCCCGCTTCTCAATCCTCCTTTCCTCCCTCTCCTCCTCTTCCCTTCGTTGTCGTCTTATCCTCCACTCCCCTCCTCGTCAACTCCTCCTTCTCCTCCTGGTCCCTCGTCCTGCTCCTCCTCGTCCTCCTCCTCCTCCTCCTCCTCCTCCTCCTCCTCCTACTCATCCACCTCTTCCCTCATTCTTTTCCTTAGGCAAACTGTTGGGCCTCGAGGACCCGAAGCGTCAGGCGGCCTGGGCGCGAGCGGGCCCAGGCAGCAAGTGCGGTGCCTCCTCGACCCCTGAGGCGCAGCGATCGGCAACGGCGGCTTGCGAGGCAGTGCAAGAAGCCTCCGACCCAACCCGTCCCCCCACATCCTCGCATCACACTACATCCTCGCGCCCTCCAGTTCCTTCCTTCCTTCTCCTCCTCTTCCTCCACCTCCTCCTCCTCCTCCTTCGCTTCTCCTCCTCCTCCTCCTTCTCCTCCTTCTCCTCTTCCTCCTCCTTGATCTTGCTGCTCCTCCGAATCCGGCGCTTTGGTGCCCCGGCACGTGCACGGCACGCGGCCCGGGAGGGCCTCCAGGAGCCCCTGGAGGGCCAGAAGTTTCCAGAAACGATCAACAACTTGGATCCTGGACTCTCTCTCTCGTCCTCTCTCTCTCTCTCGTTCTCTCTCTCTTTCTCTCTCTCTCTCTTTATCTCTCTCTCTCTTTTATCATTCTGCTCTCTCTCTCTCTATCCTCTTCTCCTCCTCCTCCTACTCCTCCTCCTCCTCCTTCTCCTCCTCCTCCTCCTCCTCTATCTTTCTCTGCTCCTCTCTCCTCTCTCCTGTTCTTCCTCCTCTGTCTCTCTACTCCTCTCTTCCTCTGTTCCTATGTTTGTTTGTTTCCTCTCTCTCTCTATCTCTCTGCACCTCCTCCTCTTTCTCTATACCGGGGGCGTCCAAGAGAGCGAGGCGGGGATCTATCCATGTCCACCGCCCGAGAACCGACGCCCTGGGGATCCCGCGGGCGGTGGATGCGGACATACTTGGGCCCCCAGGGGGGCCAAGATGTATCAGATCCACCGACCGCCAAGGTCTCCGAAAATCGATCCTCCATGGGGAGATGATGTGCACGTCGTTCATTTCCAATCGTGCTCATTTCTAATTGTGCTCGTTTCTAATTGTTCCTGGCCTCCTAGTGGCCAGGAAGAGGCCCAGGATAGAACAATTAGAAATGAAAGGATCTTGCCCCCCCAAAAATCTAAGAACTGTCGAATACTTAGGCATGAACCATGTGTATAGACCCCTACCCTGGAAGGAGGCGGGCGTCCAGGAGGGGGCGTTCTCGAGTCCTGGCCCGAGGCAAGTGCGGGGCCGGTGCGGGTGGGGCGAGGCACGCCATCCACGACATCCGGGGAGATGGCACGGCCCCGGCGGTGGTGCAGTCAGCGTTGACGGTACAGATGCGCGATGCGGATGCAAGCCCCCTGGACGCGTCAGAGCTGTCTCATCGCGGGGGCCGTGATACCATCAAGCTGTGCGTCCGGATGCGCGATCAGGATGCAAGCCCCTTGGGCGCCCGTGTCGGCGCTTTTCAAGGAAGGCGGGCCCTCGAAAGTAGCCAAGGCTGGACCAAAGGGGCACGGATGCAAGGGCACCCTTGGGAAGCCTACCCATCCTTCCCATCGGTTCCGACTGTATTCCTCCTCCTCCCTCCTCCTGCTCCTGCTCCTCCTCCTTCTCCTCCTTCCCCTCCTCCTCCTCCTCATCCTCCTCCTCCTGCTCCTGCTCCTGCTCCTACTCCTGCTCCTGCTCCTACTCCTGCTCCTCCTGCTCCTCCTCCTTCTCCTCCTCGTCCTCCTCCTCCTCTCCGCCCCTCCTCCTCCTCCTCCTACCTCCTCCCCCTCCTCCTCCTCCTCCTCCTCCTCCTCCTCCTCCTCCTCCTCCTCCTCCTCCTCCTCCTCACCTCCTCTCCCCCTCCTCCCCCTCCCCCCCCCTCCCCCTCCTCCCCTCCTCCTCCTCCTCTTCCTCGCCCCAAACAACAGTCGATCTGATTCTTTCCATCCGGAGACTTCTCCTTGATTTCTGGGCCCGCTATCGAGACCGGGGGCCATGTTACCCCTGGGGAAGCGTTCGGGACCTCTGGGGGCGGCGCTCCGCGCGACGGCCGCCGCCGTTCGAGGATCTGGGGTCGACGAGAGTGTTTCGGGAAGCACGCTGGGGACCCCTCCTCGTCCTCCCTCCTCCTCTCTCACCCTTCATCACCCTTCATCCTCCCTCCCCCCTCTTCTTACCCACCCCTCCTCCTACCGCCTCCCTCCTCCTCATACTCTTCCTCATCCTACCACTCCTCTCCTCTCCTCTCCTCTCCTCTCCTCTCCTCTCCTCCCACTCCACTCCTCCTCCTCCTCCTCCTCCTCCTCCTCCTGGCCACCAGCAGCTCCCCTCTCTCCTCGCCTCTTCCTCCCCTCGGCCGCCCTGTGGCGCCCCCGCGCCGCCCCTGGTGCGGCGCCCCAGGAGCGCCCCGTGCCCTCCTCGAGGCTGGGGACCGTCTCCCGGCCCTGGGGGCACTTGGTCACGACCTCGTCCCAGGCGGCCTGGGGGAGGCGAGGAGAGGAGGGGGTGTGGTGGCACGGTGGCATGAGACATGGTGTCTGTGCTCTGGATGCCGCATGCTGCCGGCTGCCGTTCCCGACGTGCAAAAGGAAAGGCGGCCCGCCTGCGGGGGGGGGGGGGGGGGGGGGCGAGCGAGAGGTGGAGGGCGCCCTGCCAGGGCGCACGCTGCGGGTGTTCGGCAGCTCGCTTGGCCTCCCTCCGGATCTTGGCCTCCCTCCGGTGGGCCGCGATGCGGGAGGAGGGCGAGGAGGGGGAGGCGAGGAGGGCGAGGAGGGCGAGGACGAGGAGGGCGAGGAGGGCGAGGACGAGGAGGGCGAGGAGGGGAGGCGAGGAGGGCGAGGAGGGCGAGGAGGGCGGGGAGGGGGAGTGCGGGGAGAGGAGGGCGAGGACGAGGGGGGCCAGAGCCGGCGGCGCGACGCGCCCAGCCAGAGTTCCCGACAATAGAAATGGAGATGGTTAGATAAACCCAACATAAATATTACATAAATTAGTTGTTAATGCTAAATTTCTAAAAAAAGAGCAACATTTACACCAACATTTGTCCAAACAGGTTTAATGTTGCACACGTTGAGCACACTATGACAAATTTTGACAACGAGAAGCGGCAGACATTCTGCCGTTTCTCGTCGTTGAGAACGGCAGTGAAAAAATGAGGCATAGGAGGCTTAGGAAATGACGGACGGCAACAGGACTCACTCAGTGTATGATACAAGCCTTAAAGATGAAACTGTTTATGGATTTGCGCTTTTGCACACTGTGAGTTTACGCCTTTCTCTCTAAAACATATCATGTTTACGACCGCGTTAAGAACGGTCTCGGAGGAGGGCGTAAAGAGTGCAAGTCGCCGTAACCGGTGTCTTGACAGGCATAATGATAAACTCTCGAAGGTCCGCGCGGACACCTCGCATTGGCGCTGGAGCCTCCTGGCTGGCGCGCGGAGCGCGCAAAGGGGCGGCGCTGGAGGCGCCGCCGGGGGCTCCGGGCCAGGGGTGCCCTGCGCCGATCCAAGAAATCCGCGAAGAACTCCAAGAAATTACGCATACCCATCGGTCGGAAGAGGACGGAAACGGTGAAGCCACTCGATCATTGAAGTAGGAATGCCTTTGAAGTAGATTGGATCTGGGGATCCAGAAGTACCTACTTTCAACGACCGATGGGTACATTCGAGAAGCTGAGGGAAGGAACAGTGTGGGTTTGGAAGGGGCTCGCTGTTCCTCAGGCCCTTCCATGGCTGTTCTTGTGGGCCTCAGGCCCAGACCCCCGATGGCATGATTTCTTCATCGAGCCGACCCCACAAGGCCTCGACCCCTTCCCTGGGACTGCCTAGTCATGATGGCCCCCCTAGTCATCCCCCCCTAGTCATCACCCCCTAGTCATGGCCCCCCCTAGAAATCTGGGAAAAATAATGGCCCCCCCAGTCATCCCCCCCCTCTTTTCCGCCCCCGAGCTGGGCTGGCGGCGGCCTGCAGGCCCCGCCCGCTCGCAGCCGCTCGCGGCGGGGCCCGTGCCACCGCTCGCCTTGCAGAGGCGGCCCTCGCCATCGCCCAGACGTCCACTCCCTGTGCCTTTTTCAGCTTCGTGCGTGGTTTTCTCGCTGGATGATCGAGGATGTTCCTCGATGGTCCTCGCCGAAGAAAACATGCACACGTCCGAACGATGCCAAGGGCCATGCCCAGCGGCGGCCTCGGCCACGTCGGCGACAGAAGGCCATAGGACGCCGCTGTCTCGTCCGGGTGAGCCCTCACGTGGACCTCCGCGCCCCGATCCCAAACGCGATTCCACGGACGACAGGCTTTCGTCCAGATGTCGACCACCCCTCTTCACACTCGATGTCGACCAAGCTCACCGAGATACAAACGCAAATCCCCAAACCGTGTGGAATTTTGGGACTCGCTGAAGGTCACATGAAGGAACGCAATCTCCTGGAGCTGCGCCGGACGTGACAAGTGTTCCGCCGCTCGATGGCCCTGGAACGGCGGCTCTATCCTGGAGTCTGCCGGTATCCCACTCAGCAGTCCGAAATGCGCGCCCGCGCTGGTTGTGCGCCAGACCGGCAGCAGGTCCTCAAGCGGTGGGGCTCCCAGCGGCTGCAAGCGACCCGGGGCAGCCCTGCAGCCTCTGTTGCTCCCCAGCGTTGAGGACCAAGGCCATCCAGGTGATCCACCGACCAACATCGAGTCGAGCGCGCCCACGTCGCGAGATGCGAGTAGGCGAGGAGGAACGCCAGTGCCTTCATGCGGTTCGTCTGGCTCGGCCGGCGGGCGGGGCCAGGCTCGGAAGCGATGGTTGAGCCTGTCCAGGGCGGTCCCGTGGCAGGTCTTGTGCATGGAATGTGAAGGGGTCGTCGTAGGGGTTGTGGAAAGCTTGACTACCTTTTGCTACCTTTACTTGGAGGAGGAGGGGAAAAAAAAGGAGGAGGAGGAGGAGGAGGAGGAGGAGGAGGAGGAGGAGGAGGAGGAGGAGGAGGAGGAGGAGGAGGAGGAGGAGGAAGGAGGAGGAGGAGGGAGGAGGAGGAGCTTGACTACCCTTTACTACCTTTACTTGGAGGAGAAAGAGAAGGAGGAGGAGAAGGAGAAGGAGGAGGATGATGATGATGAGGAGGAGGAGGAGGCCGCTCTGGCCTCCAGCCAGACGCTAAAAGAACTGCCTGCACAGCACCTGGAGCAAGAGGCCCGAGCCCAGCAGAGCCAGGATGTCTCGGCCACGCGTGCAAGGGGTTGTGGCAACTGGGCAAGGGCCGCCAGCAGCGCCCCTGAGCATGCAAGACGCCTCCTCCTCCTCCTCCTCCTCTTCCTCTTGACACGTTCCTCCTCCTTCTCCTCCTCCTCCTCCTCCTCCGTCTCCTCCGTCTCCTCCTCCTCCTTCTCCTCCTCCTCCTCCTCCTCCTCCTCTTGACACGTTCGGGCTCGCCAAACCGCAAGGACTTGCCGACGCCGGCGGGGCAAGGCGTGCTGGCGGGAGCCGAGCCGAGCACGAGGCGCCGCCTGGACGTACCCAGTCCCCCCCCTCGATCAGATCGGCTGGGCCTGACGCGAGCTACAGTCGGGGCCCTGAAGAAGGAACCCTTTTCGTTGGGGAGGGGCTCCGCGTTCCTTAATTGTTTCGCACTTTGCCTCAGATTTTCCTGAGGTTTTCGATATGCAATCGAAGTTTAACTTATGGACAAAAAGGGGCCTCGTTCCCGATTTAGGGTTCCTTAGGTCAAGGCCCCGACTGTAGGACGTGCGCGCAGAGGGGTGCACTGTGACTGGCGGGCGGTTTCTTACTCGGCGTTTCGACATTGGGCGGAACGGGGGGGGGAGGGGGGGGGGGGGGGTCTGGCTCCGGACCTCTGCTTAGGAGCCTCCCCTGCGTGAAACAGGCGCTAAAAAACAGCCAAGATCTGCTCCCAGGGGGGGATAGGGGAGGTGCGAGGGCCCTCGCCCATCGGCAAAACAGTGCACAGAAAAACGCTCACCACGACGCGCGCGCAGAGGGGTGCACTGTTACTGAACGCATTGTTTGTTCACACTCAGGTCCGCGTCTGGCTTGCACAGACATCCGCCCCGGCGGCCAATTCCACCCCCGACCATTACCGAGCATGCCACAACATGGATTGGCAGAGGGATTGCCCATAGCTTTGCCGAGAAACAGCGGTGACGACCACGGTCTTGAGCATGCTGTCAATGGTCGGGACAGAGGGAGGGGAACATGTCGTGGGATCCCATGCAACAAGTGAAGATGGCAGAAATGTGTCACCGCAACAATGAAAGAACTGTGCCTCGAGGACGGTGGGGCAGTCTGGGTCGAACACTTCCACGACCCAAGGGACCTGGCACACAAACTGTTATACCTCATACCCCTCGCGCCGCTCACGCGAGCCTTTGCAAAGATAGCTCACTTTTCTTCTCTTTTCCCCTCTTCCACCTCCTCCTCCTCCTCCTCCTCCTCCTCCTCCTCTTCATCTTTTGCCTGCACGGATGCTCGCTTTCATGCCCTCTGGCGAACCGCCATCCGTTAGAGATCGAATGGGGAATCAATTGCAGAATTAATATGCTCCAGAATTCATTTCCCCGCCGAAATGCAAGACACGCGTAGAATGTTCGTACATCTATTGACTATTCTAGGTATTTGTGCGATGGGCTCGGCGAGGAAAATCAATTCTGGGGCAAATCGATTCTGTAGTCGATCCCCTACTCAAAGAAGAGCTTCCGCGCGGAGGTGCAATGCCAACACCCCGAGGAAGGCTCGCCGCAGCCGCATACGTCCCCCTGGACCCGCAACCAGGAAACACCAGTGGACTACAAGTTCCTCCCTTCGGAGGCCTTACTGGCCAAGGCGTCTTGGGGTAAGCTGCTGGGAAGTATCGAGCGGGAGCCATTGCCGTCGCAGCCGGGCCTTCAGGGGGTCACATTCGAAACCAAGCCCGCGAACGAGCGGGAGCCTCGCTTTCAAAGAACATGTAGCTGGCGTCGAGGCGAGAGTGTCCGGAGCAATCCCACCAGCCCTCTGGGCGTGGGTGGTCTAGGAAGTTTCATCTTCCAACCCCATTGTTCCCCTTAGGGGAGGGATCTACCACTTGTTGGGAGGGCGGGTGGAAGTGAGCAAGATGGCTTACGGGCGGGTGGGAAGTTTGACCCCTCCCCCCCACCCCCTCCCCTGGACCTGGACGGGGCGCCCCGCGAGGTGTCAGAAGGCACTTATTCGCCCAATATGTCTCCAAGAGGGCCTCAGAGAGCCCAATATGACCTCCAAACTGACTCCCAATAGCCTAAGATGCCTCAAGCCGGCTCCCAAGATACTCCAAGAGGCCCCAAGAACGCTCCAAGACGACTCCAAGACGCCTCCGAGACGCCTCCAAAACGCCTCCAAGAAGACCTCCAAGCAGCCAGAATCCTTCCAAAACCTACGGAAGCTCTATGTCTTTAACGTTCTCGCC